TTTCGCTTTCACAACGAAACACACAGCGTCTCCATGACATGGCGGCGGCAACAACAATACTACAGCGAGAATAAAAGTTACGCCTTCTTTCTTTGGGTGGACATTTGGGCGGCTTTATGCAAATCTTCCCAGATCGTGATGTAGGTATGTGGGGGCGTGTTAGAACGAGCTGTTTTAGGTAGGTGTGGCTGACTCTGACTTTTATAAAGAATATCTCTTTGGATTTGAGACTTTAGTCTTTGCAACTTTACAGATCTTCTTTATGCACCAAGAGCTTGTAACACTCCAAAGAGAAAGGAAAAATTGAAATCGCATCATATAACCCCTTTAATGTTGCAAAAGTCATCAATTATGAAACTAATTCAATTTCAGCTGTTGTACAGGATACAATAGTGTAATTATTAAGCGCAGTTTAGTTCAGTGTTAATTCAGTTTAGTTCAATAACAGTGTAAAAGTCACAAAGTTATGAAACTCAATTCAAATGTAAAGCAGCTCTACGGAAAAAAAAAAATAGTGTCATTATTCAGCTGAATCAGTTGAGTGTTGATTCAGTTCAGTTCATTAACTCCAAAGTTCATCAATTATAAAACAAGTTAAATTCAACTGTAACAAAAAAGCAGGAACATCACAACTGGTCATGTTTTATAAGAAGTTATGGTGTTTGCTAAGGTAAACGTCACTGTTATTATTGTCAAGTCAAGTCACATTTATATATAGCGCTTTAAACAACACAGATTGTTTCAAAGCAGTAATAAACAAGAAAATAACAGTATTGACGTTGCAAAATACTTCAATTATGAAACAAATACAATTTCAGCTGTAAAGCAGCTGTACAAAAGATAATAGTGTCATTATTCAGCTCAATTTATTTCAGTGTTAATTCAGTTTAGTTAAATAACAGTGTAAAAGTCACAAAGTTATGAAACTCAATTCAAATGTAAAGCAGCTCTACGGAAAAAAAAAAATAGTGTCATTATTCAGCTGAATCAGTTGAGTGTTTATTCAGTTCAGTTCATTAACTCAAGTTCATCAATTATAAAACAAGTTAAATTCAACTGTAAAGCAGGTGTACAGAAAACATTGTTATTATTCAGCTAATGTCAGTTCATCAGTTATAAAATGAACTCAATTCAATTAAGTTCAGTGTTGATTCAATGTAGTTGAATGTCTATCAGTGATTGCAAAGTTCATTTATGAAACAAGTTCAATTCAGCTATAAAGCAGCTCTACAGTTTCATTATTCAGCTCAACTCAGTTCAGTGTTGATTCAGGTCAGTTCAATAACTGTGCAAAGTTCATCTATTTTGAAACCAATTTGATTAAGCTATAAGGCAGCTCTACAGAAGACAACATTGTCATTATACAGTTTTGTTCTTATCTGATCATCAATACAGTGAAATTGATAATATTACTGAATATTAAGTTCTTTTGAACCTACAATTTGATTCAGAATCAAGTGAGTCGTTTCATTATGTGAACACATTCATGTGGTCTAGTTTCATGTGTAATGGCTCATTTCTGTCTGTGCCGCAGTCTGAAGCAGCGCTGATGTATGACGCTGTGTATATGGTCGCTGCTGCGTCCCAGCGAGCGTCTCAGGTCACCGTCAGCTCACTGCAGTGTCACCGACACAAACCCTGGCGCTTCGGCTCACGATTCATCAGCATGCTCAAAGAGGTAAATGCACCTGTTTAGACCCTCATCCAAAACCAAAAAACAGTTCACCCACAGATCATCATTTACTCATCATGTATGTTTGGAATGAGTATATGATGACCGAATTATCATTTATAATCTTTTAAACTGTGTCAGACGCTTCTGAACTTGAATAGAGAGTTCAGTCTATTTAGTCTAAATGCATCATTACTCACTTCTCTGGAAAGTGTTTCGAGCCACTTCTAAACAGCTGCAGATGATTTATGTGCGGACAATCTCTCTCTCCCAATGATAACTTCCAAGTGTTCTTGTCAGAGCTTCCTGTGTTGGAGGAGGTATTGTTGAGTCAGCATGTTGGCATTGCAGTCTGAGGATGAATGTGTGTTGGACGAGAGCGTAATGGCTGTAGCTGAATTAGTGATGCAGTGTGGGTGAACTCATTACAGTGGGGCTGTGTTCATTTAAAGGTGAAGCGTGTCATTTCTGCTCTACTAGTGGTGCTGAACGGAATTGTTACCAAATGGACCGACATGACAACGTTAACCTAACTTCCACTGCTGAGAAACCCAGAAATGTGAAAAAGGTCTGATTCACTGATTCGAAGCGCTCCAAACCGAATCACGTATCGTGAATCATTTGATTTAGGTCGGGATTTCGGAGCGGGTTCGCGAATCATTTGATTCAGACTGGGACTTCGGAGCGCACATTGAGTATCTTTTTTTCTGATTTCTTTTTTTCCCCCTTTTTTTTTATCAAGCAGTACAAAACATCAAATTATTAAAGCAGTACACTAATAAAAACAAAACAAAGAAAAACAAAGAAAGTATACACATACTGTATACAAATCCTTTAAGAAAATTAACCATGTTTGTTTTTCTTTTTTTTGTTTTTTTGTTTAACCACAGTTTTACTAGAAATACCATGGTTAAACTATGGTTAGTGTAGCAAAACCACCATGGCTACCAAA